GTACGCCGAACTGCTGTTGCTGCTGTGGCTGCTGGCGCTGGGCGAGCTGCGCCGGCTGGAGGAGCGGGCCGGGCGGTGGCGGCGGGCTGAACCGGCCGGGGCAGTGGAGCGGCGGCGGCGGCGGCTTCGAGTCCGGAGGGTGGGGAAGGTGGGGAGGGCTGAACTCTTTCCTCTTCTGGCTGCTCAGCTGCTGCTGCTGCCGCTTACTGAAGTCCTGCGGGGAGGAGGTGCGGCAGCAGCAGCAGGAGGAGGCGGAGGAGGAGGAGGGGTGGTGCAGACTCGGTTTGAAGTCCTGGGAGGGGAGGAGGTGGGTCACACCCGCGTTCGTGCCGCCGCCGGGGTGGTGGTTGGGGAGTTTCTCCGCGGCCGCCGCCCCCGAGAGCGGCCGCGCCGGTTGCTGTGTCAGCCCCAGCAGCAGCTCATCCTGCATGGTCTGCTGATGCGCCAGGAACGGGGAGGAAGAGGAAGCGGCGGCGGCCGAGCTGCCCGCGCCGCCGCAGCCGAGGGGGATAGGAAAGGGGGAGGCGGCCTCCGAGATGCCGGTGACAGGCAACGGCGGCGGCGAGAGCGGGCCGAAGGGCGTGGCGGAGGGCTGCGGGGCGGTGGCCGCGGCGGGCCCCGCAGCGTAGGGACGGTACGCCCCGCTGCTGAACAGGGACCCGGGGCTGCTGCTTCGGAGCGGGGCGGTCTGCAGCACCCCAAACCCTAAGTCCCTCATTTATCAGGCGGGCGGCAGCGGGAGGAGACGCGCCCCGTCCGCTGCCCCGCCTAGGAAGCCGCCGGACCTGGGGCGGCACGGCCGTGGTGGAAGGAGGGGGAGTCAGTGAGAGGAACACCGTGACTGAGCCAGGGGCACCCACTTCGGCCCCGCCAGCCCTCGCGGCAGTCACCGCCGCCTCCCGAGACCCGCTCGGACACCGCTGCCGCCGCTACCGCCGCCGCCGCCGCCCTCGCCGCTTAAGAACTCCGGAACGTGCGTCAGCGCCACCTCACAATCGCACCGCCCCCCGCGGTGCGTCTCGGCACGCGCGGGCGCAAGGCCGCCGCGCCCCCGCTGCCCCGCCCCCGCCCCGCCCCTCATTAATATGCAGGCTCGGCCAGGGGCGCGCTTGAGCTCCCAGGAGGGCGGGGGGAGCGCGGGAGCGAGCGGCGTGTCTCCTCGCGCCCCTTCGGCATCTAGGGAAAAGAGGAGGCCGGTGGCGGTAGCCGGCAGCCGACTCGGGTCTGAGCGCCCGCCGCGCGCGCGCGCGCACAAGGGCAAGAGCTCGCGGGCGGCGCCGACGGTTCCTGGGCAACGGCCCCTCCCGGCGCGGGGTTCGCGCAAAGGCTGCCCGTGGTCGCACGCGCTCCGCCCCGCCCCCGTCGCCCTCGCGGCCCGCCTCCTTCCTGTCACCTCGGTCCCGCCCTCGGTCACATGAGGCTTGGCCGCTGGGACGCCTCCCGGGGTTGTGCTGCCCGGCGGGGGAAACTGAGGCCGGGGGACGCGACTGGGAGCGGCTCCCAGTCACGGCGGTCGCGCGCGGCCTGCACTTTGCGAGCGCAGCGGAGACGCGGGCCCCTCCCGCCCTTCGGGCTCAGCCCCGGGGGTCCGTAGGCCCTCTAGGTCTTGTGGGCGCTGCCTGCCTTGCAGACCTCTGAGCGGCTCTCTCCACACCTCGTGCCCCACCACGTCCCCGACTTGGAGCTCTCGTCGGCGCCCTAGAAAGCGCCTTCTCGGGCTTGTTTCTGTTTTTAGCTTCTCCTGCTGCGTGCTGTTTGGACCTTCCTGCAGCCGCTTGAAGGTGTTTTCTGCAGGGCAAACATGAAACCCCAGCTGTACACCAAACGTTTTCACTTTGGCAATGAGGAGCAAAGTCCCAGGAACCTAACCGGGGCTCGGTGTGGCTGTCTACACACATATATGCATATAATAGGTTAGGAGGCGAGCTCACATGGTAACCCTGGGCCAGTTCCAAGTCTTCGTATTTCATAAAACCATTTAATGTACCATCATCAGGACTGCCGTGTGGGACTCCTCCCTGCCACATTGGTTCAGGCTCCCCTGTCCCTGCCCCCCAGGGAGACTCAAATTTAAGCATTTCCTAAGCTTTACGAGTTTTCAAGGGAGAAAGATTTCTCACATCAGGGAAAAAAGGAGGTTCTGACTCAGCAACAGACTTGTTGAGGCTTGCAAAATGGAAGGGGAGAGTTTTCCATGGTTAGAAGAGGAACTAATCCTGTGTATTTCCTTTTCTAAAGAAGCATTTAACATAGAGAAAAAAAAATTATGTGAGGGTCTAGATAAAGAATAACAGAATGATCCTGTTTTGCAATTTAACTTTTTCTTGGCACTTAGAGAAGTGAAACTATTAAAGAATCCCAGAATACAGACTAACCCCAAAAGCAATAGAGGGGTGTCCAGACTACTTGATTTTTTAAATTCTTTTTTTAGTTGAGATATTATTGACCTATAACATCCTATTGGTTTTAGATGTACCACATAATGATTTGATATATCTATATGTTGGGAAGTAATTACCACAATAAGTCTAGTTAACATCCAGCACCACACCGTTACAATTTTTTTTTTCTTGTGAGACTCTACTTGATTTTGATTTACAACTGGACTAAGATTAGTGTTATAGATCATAAATGTACATTCCTACTGATGTAGGCAGAGTGTACATTTTCATGAGTCCTCATACTCTATTCAATTTCATTTCTACTTTTATTTCAGTGTTTCAAATTTACATAAATCATATTAAGCATGCTAGAAAGAGAACAACATTGCAGAAGCAAAATATGTTCCAGGTATTACGTTTATGTCTGATATCCTGTCTAATGAACTAAGTTTGATATTGCCTTTACAATAGGAGAAAGTAATCTTAAAAAACTCAAATGGTTCAGAAATTGGTCAGGTGTATAGTAAATTGGTTTGAGCTAATAATCTCAAAACCATTTTTAATAATCAGGCAAAATATAGAACTGGAGAAGTACTTTTATTATTCTAAATTACAATGTCTAGAAAATAACTTGAGCTCATTACAATTAAAAATATAAATGGCCATTTCCACAGCACCTGTTGACATATTCTTAACTATTATTTATTAATGTATTTTACAGGGAAAAACTACTTCACAACTGAAGACTTTAAGACTGTCTTAAAAATGAAGACTTTTTTTCTAAAGTTATATTTGGAATCATCTGCAGATCCAACAACAAATCTTGAAAAAGGAAGAAAATATAGGCATGAAAATTAGCTCAATCATCCACCAAAATTGCAGTTAGTGTAATGTATGGAGGAGAGAGAGAGCATACCTTTACAAGCCAAATGCTGCCATTCTGGGCTAAAGTTTGAATAAAAACAAGATTTCCTAGTGTTCTGGTTTTGTTTTGGAGGATTTAGAGATCTCCAAAACGGAGAAAAGCCATCACGTTTAATATTATGTAATAAGGTCAAATTTCATTTTAAGTACACCAGATTCCAAAATCCAAATGCCAGACCCCTGCTCACCACTTTAACATCTCAGAGTGTTGTGAGGACCTCATTTTTTTATAGAGAAGAAAGTTACATCCTGAAATCTCTATCTTTTAAACTGGTGAGCATGCCATCATTGAAAATACTCAAACAGAAAGGTTTCCTATACTGGAGGTGGAGGTGGGTGAGAGGAGGGATTGTGGTCCTCTAGCAGCTACAATGCCAAAATCTTATGAGGCTATATTCTGTGTTGACCATATGATCATTAACTCAGTCCCTGTCCTTATTCGACAGTCTCTTGTTCATTGCCTACCATTGTTCTGGGCCAGTGTTTTAAAAAATATTTTAGCTACAACCTAGAACACACACATACACCCGTGCACCTTAAGCAATTCTTTTTATACATGCAATAAACTCTATTTTTAAATTCTATGTACTGTGTTAAATTGCTAAATTGATCTCAAATCACTTAGTTGATTTTAAGTCCCACGATTAGGCCATGAGCTGAAATTTATTAACACTGTCCTAGAAGACTATTTCACACTTTCGCCTCTATCTCAAAGCCTCCTGACACCTTCTCTCCTCCCCTCATTCTCAGCTGACCTGGCTATTTCCCTGAGAAAATAGAAGCAGTTCTAGGAGAACTTCCACAGGTCTTCAACTGTACCCTTTTCCAGTCCACTGTGCATCCGTTCCTACACACCTTCTTCCCTCCTGCTACATGGAGGGCCTGCCCAGACCCCACACTCCCATCTAAGGCCATCCCCTCCACTGGTGCACCAGATCCCACACCTGCTCAGGACATGGCTTCATAGACATCCCAGTCTCCTAGCCATCCTGCATTTAAAGGTCCAATATTGAACTCCCCCATCTTGGTAAATGGCACTCCACTGTTATAGTTGCTCAGGCCAAAATTAAAATAATAATAATAAATTAAAAGGTCATCCTTGATTTTTATTTTTCTTACAGCATATTCAAACCATTATTGCATGCTGCTTGTCCTATTTTTAAATTATACCCAGAATCCAACCACTTCTCATCATGCCCACCACAAGCAGACCAGGCCAGACCAATGTAATCTCTCCCTGGCTTGTTGCTCTTACCTCCTAACTAGCCTCCCAGCTTCTGATCTTCTCTCCCTACAGTCTATTCACACAGCAGCCAAAAGGCTCCTTTCAAAATGGAAGACAGATCATGTCAACTTTCCTGACTAAATACTTATATTTTCCTAGAATAACAGTCAAGACATTTTCAATAACCAAATGGTTATTCAGGATTGCCTCCTGCCTCCAGTAACCCCTCTGACCATTTCTACCCACAATGGAATCCGTATTTCTTTGACACACCAGGCCAAGTCAGCCTCAGAGTCTTTGCCCTTGTGATTCTCACTGCCTGGAATACTTGTCCGCTAAATACCAGCAGGGCTCGCTCTCATGTTTTTTGTGTCTCTGTCTCATTTCTTTTAGGTCTCTGCTCAAGCTCATTTGGTCAGTGATCTCTTCCCCGACCACCATTATAAAATAGCAACTCCTTCCTTCCACTCCAGCCTCCCTATTACTCGTAAGTGGTTTGATTTTTATCCCCCATCGGGCACTCTTTATACTTAACAATGTTTATCTGTCCTACCTGTTAGATGGCAAACCCCTTGAGGAAACGTACATTGTTTTGTTCACTGCTGCATCTTCCACACCTAGAAATCCTGGCGCACAGCAGGCACCCAAGAGTTGTTAAATTGCATGCACTGCTCCATAAATGAATAACAGTTTTAGAAAATAATAGCTATAAGTATACTATAGTAATATGAAGGTCTTTGTTTGTTGGCAGGGGTTACCCAAAGACCACCCACATGCTGCTAGGAATTATAAGCAAAGCAAGACAGTTCCAGGCATCGACAGGATACATGTGTGAGGACACACAGATAGGGCAGCTCAGGATTGAAAAACCAGGGGATAGATAAACCTAGACTCCAGGAGGCAAGACTTCTGTTTTAGGAGCCTAGAGGAGGATTCCAGACTTTAGAGAATGGGATATTGAGGAAGGAGACTGAAATGCAAGGGTTCATCACAGGAATTTGAGCAAGACTCCAGCTCATAGAAACAGAATGAGTTCACATAGAATGGCCGTGAGGCCAACTTGATGCTGAGCCGCCAAGCTGCTGGTTTCCTACTGCTACTTGTCCTGTAAATGGGAAAGGGTTAGTCTTCATTGGAGGCTCATTGACCTGGCTTTGTATTGGGGAAAAATATTAAGGCCCATATTGGCCTTGTCCAACTTCAAGTTGCTTAATTGACACAGCACCCCAGAGTACCACCATCTTTAATACTTCTGGTTCTTTTTCTACTTTTCCACACTTCCCTTCATACTGTCCTCCATTGCCTTCCTTCTCTTTACATATCCCTTACATGTTGGAGTTCCTTAGGCTTATATTCTTGGTCCTCTTCTCTACTTCTATATACTCTTTCTAGGTGACCTTATCCACTATCATGTTTTCAAATACCATCTTTATGCTAATGTCTAACAAATTTCTCTCTAGCCCAGAGGCCAAATTTGTATTTCCAATTACCCATTAACCAGCTTGACCTGGATGTCCCTCAGACATATCAACTCAGTATGTCCATACCTGAACTTACCATCTTCCCCCAGACCCACTCCTCTTCTTTTGCTCCTTATCTGGGTTGATGGCATCATTACACAAGTTGCTTCAGCTGGAAGCATGAGTTGTCCTCTTCTTCCCTCTCTCACCCTCCAAAAACAATTGGTCACCATACTCTGTTAATTCTATTGCAGAAATACTGCTCAAATGTTGTCCCCTCAGTCCACTCCTCTACCTGTGCCTTAACTCTCAGTCTTTTCTCTGTCCTGCCCTACTGCACAGCCTCTTAGCTGGTTTTCCTACCAGTTCCTCTCTGAATCTCTTCCCTTTAATGGTGTCAAAAAACAACTATAATCCTGCCACATGTCCTGGTCAATAAGCACCTTCCTAGCTTCTACCATATCACATCCAAACTTGCTGGGGAATAGGACCTTTCAAAAGTTATTTGCAACTTGCCTCTTTGCCTTTATCACCTGTCACTCCCCATAGTACCCAATCCTCTGGATCAGACATGTCTTTTCATAGCTCTGGTCCTTTGCACATGATGTGTCTACTTTCTGGAATGCCTCTTACCTCTTTTCATCAGCTAATGCTTCCTTTCTATTCAGGACACAGTTCCAATGCTATAGCCTTTCTTGGCTTTCCCTGGACAGTGAGTTAAACCCTCTTCTATGTTCTCTGACAATATTGTCATAATAACATTTTTGTTAGAACACTTGTCACATGGACAATAATTATCTGTCTCCTTGGCTATCTGCCCTTTTAGACTCTGAGTTGCTCTAGGTCATGGACTTTCCTTTATGTATTTCTCTACATATGTTTACCTGCCATTTTACTTGAAACACAAGGGCTCAGTAAATGTTTGTAGATTAGTGAATTGCCCAGTGAATGCTGTAGGAAGGAAAAATGAAAAGAAGGGGAAGAGAGAAACAATGGAAAGAAGGGAAGGAGAGAAGAAAGAAGGGAAGGAGAAAAATGTTTCCAAAGCACACTTATAAGGAGATAATGCCATTTTCTAGAGAACCATAATATTAGTGACTTATGTTTGCTAGAGGAAGAAAAAAAAAAAAAAAAGAACAGATCGTAACAATGAACAACGAAATTTCACTCCCCTTCCCATTGTTTTCTTTGGCTATACCAATCTGAAAACTCCATTCTGGTTGTTATGCTATCCAAGGATGAATCCACTGACAAGGGAAAATATCTGGAATCTTTCCTTGCTGCTAATGTTTGGGGGCCAAACACAATACAAGGTCTTCACAGTTTATGTCACCCTTTGTGCAGCTTGGGACATTTGTCATCCAGCTCCAGTAAGGGAGCCGTCAACCTCTGCAGTAATTCCTGCCACATGCTCAGTGGCATGTAGACTGACTTAACTGTTCTATCACTTCTTGACTTCTATTTTTAGGTGTTGTCACCTTGACTGGATTATAAATCTTTGGAAGCAGTGGCTATGCCTTCTATATTCCTTTCTTTTCCTTGTTCTTCTTGATGCATTTATGTACCCAGAAACTATTGATTGAGTGACTGCTGTTGTCAGACACTGTACTAGGCCCTGGGGATCCAACAAGAGCAAAACCAAAGACACACGCACTATTCCGTGGCATCACAGAGGCTGTTAGTATCAGCTATGATAATTCCTGGCCCTAATTATCGAGACAGAGTCATAAACAGTGAGATTCTAGGCCAAAACTGACCTATTAAATTGGAGTCCTACATGCTGCAACATAGCCTTGCTGGACTGGTCATGGGTGAAGCCCCAGGGTGAATGTGGAATATTGAGCTAAGGCAAACTCAGGAAGGCAGAAGAAATCACACGGCTGAAACACATTGTAATCCTAGCTGGAAAAGGGATTTTCACTGTTTATCTCCTTAACTTGTCACAGTATACTTGGTGACTAGATAAAGCAAATAATATTCTTATTTTAGAGGTGGAAAACCAAAGCCCAGAAACAAAGTAATTTGCTTCCCGTAGTTTGCAGAGCCTGGGCTTAAAGCCCCCATCTCCTCATTGCTCAGGCTGCTGCTCCATTAGCTGTCCCTTGGGCTATCAAAGATATGCACCATGTCTGAGCCAAACACAGCCACAGGGACAGGCCCTAAGAACAATGGTTGTTCCTGAAAGTGTCTTTATACTTAATCCTTATATAAAGGAGGGAGGTAACGCCTGGTACAACTAAACTTCATGATTTTTCTTTGTTGGAAAGTGTAATGCTTTAAAACTTTTCAGTAACACCTCACTAAATGAATAACAATTGGCAGTAGTGATCTCAGAATGAAAGCATTTTGTTTTCAAAATACATAGCCCAAAAAATTCAGAAATACTTCTCAAATGTGCATACTAATTTTTCTCCTATTAGAATAATGAGGCCTGGCAGTATATATTGGATATATTGCATTTAATTCTTTTCTTTCATTCTGGAAAGCTAACTCTTTCACTTGATAAATTATGCTCTGCAAAGTAGAGAAGCATTTTGACTATTAAATATTTAAACTTCATATGGATGAAGAATCTTGCATCTATCAAATTTGATCTTAATATTTTTAGAATCTTAGAAAGATTAAAAGTTTAAAATTTTTTTTTTTTGGCAACTCTGAATGTTTGATAACAAAGAAAAATCATGAAGTTTAGTTGTACCAGGCATTACCTCCCTCCTTTATATAAGGATTAAGTATAAAGACAATGTCTGAGTAACATTCAAGGTGGATATTTAATATTAGCCCAGATTAGTGCTTCATCCTTACTGCTATCAATTCACTTTTACTGTAGGAGTTTATATCATCTTATATCCAAAATTCATGTATAAGTGTACATCATTGTATTAAATTTGCAGAACATAATCCATAGCAAGAAGAAAAATAGACTTCAGTTTTCAATAGAAAATAATTATAGACAAATTTTTATGAAAAAATACTTTAGAAAGTTTTCATAAGTACATGAATCATATCTATAAATAGTAATGTGTTTCAGGGCCCACAGTTGATCCATATTCCTCTCACTTTAGGAGTCAGGGAAGAGGGATATGCTGGACACATAAGTGCTCTTGAGTCAGAGACCTGGCTTTCAGTCCCAACTCCCTCTGTTCCTGTGTAACTTTAGCAGTACAGTTTTGGGGACCTTAGTTTTCTCTTCTTTGTGAAAGTGAAGGGAGCAACAACCATCATCTGCGAAGTGTGGGTTGTGAAGATGATTAGCAATATTTTAAGTAGAGAGTCTTCTATAATGTTTGAGACAGAATAGATGTTTAAACAAGGGAACAAAAACTCCTAGCTATTATGTGCCATGCAGCTTAAAGGAAAGAGTAGACTCAAAGGCCAGATAGAAGAACTCAGTGGTAGTCCTGGCCAGGT